TATGTTCATTTGCCCCAGTTGCCGTAAACAAACTGCGCTTTAATTTATGCCTTCATAATTTGGTTGCCTTCATTATTCGGAAATTAACACAATTTATGAAAGAAAAATAAATAAGAATTCTGGGTGCTCGGCGAGCCCTATGCATGTTTATTTTACTTTGCTGCCCGATCCGCCCGTTCTCCCGATTTGCGTTTTCTTTTGCACGTTTTATTGATTGTTTGTTGTTCGTTTGCTGTTCTTGTTGTTCTTGTTGTTCATTGATTAAGTTAAGCTGCAGAGTTAATGACTTGCGATACCCTTTCCAACAGCAGCAGTCACAGCTGCAGCTGCTGCTCCAGGCGACCAGCAACAACAACAACCTGGCCACCATCAACCAGCAGATCAACAATCTGGGCAACATCAATCAGCAGTTGACCTCGCTGAGTCACCAGCTCAGCGGCCTCAATCAGCAGAGCCAAAATCTACAGAATCTGCAGAGTCTGCAGCAGACATCGTCCACGTCCACGGCGCAGCAGTCGCAACTGACGCCTCCGACGCCGCCGCTGACGTCTGGTGGCGGCGCCAGTGGCAGCAATTCATATCCCTCGATGAGCCAGCTGCAGACCATCAGCAATCAGCTGCAGCAGCAGCAACAGCAGCAGCAGCAGGATGCACTGTCCAAGGATCTGTTTCAGGTCAACCAGGAGCTGTTGAATCGCCTGCAGGCAATGAATCTTAATGCGAATGCTGCGCAGCAGACGCAGACACAGACGCCATCGGCCTCGCCGCACAATTCCTACTTCTTCGTGAATCCGCTGTCCTGCACGCCAGCCACGCCCAACAACAATGCAGCGGGCGGATTCAATTTTCTGGCCTCGGCGAGCGGAATGAACGCCGGCACGTTGACACCGTCGCCGTTGGGCACGCTGACACGCAACTCATTTGCCGGCAGCTCCATGCTGAACGACGACCTGCGTCTGAGCATAGAGCAGAATCTGAACAACCTGGAGGAGCAGCTGAAGGTGGCCGTGTCGAATGGCAATTTGGCTGGCTTGGCCTGCGGCGGCTCCTCAAGCACCAGAGACACGAGTCGCAGCTCCTCCACATTGGATTCACCGTCGTCGCCGCGTCAACGCAGCTGTAATAATAATATCAGCCCGAGCAGCAGCAACGGCAATAACAACAACAACAACAACGGGAATGGCAATGGCAATGGAGGCAACAATAACAATTCAAGAGAAACCCGCTTCAATACCGTGCTGCTGCGTGTAACGGATGAGGCGGGTCATCAGCGTAAGCTATCGGCCACGCCCAGTTTTATAACACGCAGCACCAGCGAAAAGGTGCCCAATCGCAGCCAAATGATGAGCCAAGTGCAGCGCACCGCCTGGGCCAGGCACACCACCAAGTGAGCGGGACGCCAACAAACACTGAGAGTGGACCAGCTCTTAGCTACAGATAGTCAAATTAAGTTAAGGTTGTCTGAGAGTGTGTGAATGAGTATGAATATGAGTATGAGTATGAGTATGAGTATGAACATGAGTTTGAGTATGAGTATGTGAGCGTTTGAGTAACAGTATTAAATAATAGAGCTCAACTTGTTTATTAGTTTGCATTTTAAGTTGTTCGAAATTCTAGTCCTGCCTCTTTTTCAAAGTGAACAGAAGAAGATACTACAACTGCAGCATATCATGAAATAAATAAATAAATATACATACATAATATATTTAAATATACACAGAAATATATTAATTAACTATGAAAGTATTTGCTCTTCCCTTTAAAGTGTCAAAGTAAATAGTTGCTAAGCTCTGAAAATTATTTTAGCTAAAATCTATTTAGTGAACTGTTGTTATGTAAATGTTATGTTTATGCAAAACTCTTCCACAAATGTTTGCTCAACAAATCTAAAAAAGGCTCAATAATTATAAACATTATGTGAACGAATTTCGTAAACAAACACAAAGTTAATTTGATTGCAGCAAATGTTCAATGTATAATATACAATTTAATTTATCAACTAAACTTTAAGCTACAAACAAATCAATACAGGCAAACAACAAGCAACAACAATAAAATATAAAAAGCATATAAAACAATTAATTTCTATATGGAAAAAAATTCCAAATATTCTCAATATATTATCATTATGTTCATTAATAATTGTCACTTTTCGCAGCGTAGGACAATTTCACTAATGAGTTTTACATCGGCAGCGAGCGAAAAAAAGCATTGCATACTTTCGAGCGCAGTGAATAAAAAATCTGCTGCATACTTTCCAGCGCATTTGTATTACGCATACACCACGTTGGATAATGAACGGCCGAGCAGGCAGTGCATAAATTTAGAGTGATAAATGAAAAACGAAGGCAAGCAGAGAGTGCAGCAATGAGAAAACGAACAGAAAAAAAAACAAGTGTCGCCGTTTTTCACTTTTCTTTCTTAGGCTCCCCCTCCCACACTCCCGCTTCCCTCTCCTGTCGTCTTTGGTGTTGGTGGACAGCAATTTGCGCACATAACTCATTTGCATAAATTTTCACACTGACTTTTTGTTTATGCCCGACTCATTTCCACAGCTCTCGTCGACGGCCAAAGTGGCCCGCTGGTTTCAACAGCTGCCCTGGCACACCGCCTCCCTGTCCCGCCCCGAGAGCGGCTTCGTCTCGGGCGATTCGCGCTCTGAGAAGTATCAGGAGGATCATTTCTATGGCGGCATGGTGAAGGAAACGGATGATTTATGCGATGAATTTCTGCTCGTCGAGGGCAGCAGCACCATTTGGACTAAGTTGAGCGCCAAAAAACGTCGTAAATTGCTTGGCATGCGTTTGGGCAAAGTGACAACATTTTAACTTCAGCTCCCTGCCAGCCGTAATGTGTGCGTTTATTAGCTGTTAAGTGCGTTTTTTTTAAGCATAGCCCTAGGTAACGGAGCTTTTATCAAGCCAAGTAGCCAGTTACTTATACATATATATATACACAAACTTAGGTTAGCGAGTATGAAAATCAATAGACTAAATGACCAAATTAACCCAAAACGAACGACATGCTCATTGAAATGCCATGAACATACACAAACACGCACTCACACACGCTCGAAGAGTTAAGATCAAAGCAAGATACAAGTAGTAAATAGCCGTAGACGTAAGTCAATTAGCGAGCATAAGGCTTAAGCTCAATGTGTATTTAAGTATTAATAAACTAAGTAAAAGTATTTGGCATGTAAGACACAGACACAGACACAGACAAGCACACACACACACACTCACACACAAATAAAAGGCAGGTAAACAAGCGGACGTTCAATTCAGGAAGACAAGCTATTCATTATGCGGACAAAGCGAACGCATTTATCAAACGCCTGCTTGGCTCCAACGAAACAAAAACGAAACGAAACGAAACATCATAAAAGCACCGCAATTGCTGCTTAACTTGGCCAACTTTTCATGTTTGAGAAAAACTGGTTATTAAGCTAAGCAAACACAACATGCAAAAAGAGCAAACCGGGTGCTCCGAGTGGCAGCCGGAAAATGGAGAGAGCTGCAGCAGCTGCCTGCCGGATTTGCCTGCTGGAAACTGAATGGTTAAGTAAATAAGCCAAGCAAAACACAACATACATGAACACACTTACACACACACACACACCTTGGCTCACTGGAGTAGCACCAGGAGCCGCAGCAGCTCAAATGTTTGCTATTCACACATTTTTCAGCATGAAACATTTTTATGCATAAATCGATTTTACTTTTATGCGGCCCTCGTTTTGTGTGCGAGCGATTTTTGGGCGACACTCTATAAATTTACGCCGTCGGGCTATGCGGCGTATACGTGATTGCCGCAGCTGGAGTGGATTTAAACGGACAGCCAGAGCAAGCCGGCGTAGTAACACGGATCAAACCAGCTTAAAGATCGAGTGCAAAGTAAAACGATTTGGGCTGCACTCAACACTTTGACATCATTGAAAGTTTAATGAAATAAGTTAGCATTTAACATATATGTAGAACTTTAATAAGGCGCATTCAGCAGAGAATTCAGCGGGAATTCCCTGCTAAATGCGCCTTAGTGCTATAGTAAGTGACGATTTCCCTAACGATTTTAAGCTATCTATAATTAAAGAAGTTTGGAAATTTTTAAACGAGATTTTAAATGTTTTAGTTAATTTATGCAACAATTTTTGAGACTGAAACTTAAATTTGTACTAAGCATAAATAGAAAACGCACACACATACACATACAATCGCATTTGTTTTTATGTACAAGTGAATCATTCCAAGCGCATTTTACACAACTATCTAATAATAGATTAATTCCATTTTATGTTTTTAAGTTCTGCCACAGAATAAAGTGAGTAATAAAAACTAAACGTACATGCAGTTTTTAATTTGTTATTGTTGTTGCTGTTGCACACTTTGCTGTTCAATTAATTTAACGTGCTGGGCATGTAATGGAGCCAAGCGTTGCATATCAGCTGGACGCTGAGGGGCGGGCAACAGGACATGGGACATGGCACAGCAAGTGGGCTTGGCTGGCAGCTGGCAGCTAACAAGCGCACTCATGCGCTTGGTCATTGGGCGGCCAGTGGGCGTACATCGTATATTGAAAATTAGAAAACCCACCCAAGGCGACTTATGTGTGCGGTCATAATTACAAACGACGACATTTGTGGGCGGTGCGGGGGCGATGCGGGGCAGCGCTCTGACTAAAAGCAAAAGAAGCGCACTAATGGAGCGCATGAAAATGAAAAATGAAAAGCGCGACATGCGATATTTTCACTTTTTACTTTTGTAATATTATTTTTTGTTTTTTTTTTTTGTTTGTTGGTTTTTGAAACTTTTTGGGGCACAGGCAGCGGACATAATTATACAGAGCTAAAAGCCATGTAAATGTGTAGGCAGCGCGACGACCCTGAAAACAGGAAGTCCACACACACACTCATACACACATACGTATTTATAGACACGCATAGAGTGAGCGCACAACATGAAGAACATGTGAGCTATGTGACAGCAACAAGAAACAGTTGAAAGTGCCACGTGTCCTGTTGTGTCCTGTGCTTCTGCCAACGTCATTCACATTCACATTCGCACATTCACTGGCACATTCACATTCACATTTATTGCGTGGCTTCAACGCCAACGTCGACGCGTTTAATTCACATTTTATTTTCGCTGCTGCTGCGGCTGTCGACTGGGCGCGTAATTGTTGCTTCCCTCGACCAGGACAGGGATATAGTACGTTCGCGTTGGCGCTGCACAGCGGACGTGTGCGCGGCACTCAGTGAATTCGCCAGAGCAACCAAGCCGACCATGCATAGCCAGTCGACGGACAACGCGGAGCCATCGATGGCCAACGCAGCGCTGGATTCGGCCGACTCCATGCGCAGCACACCAGCCGCCGAGCCGCGTCGTCCCAAGCCTGGCATACTCCGCTTGGACATCAGCAAACCACGGCGTTCATCAGGTGGTTCTGTGGACTTTCGTTGCGTGAGTGGTGCTGCTGGTGCTGCTGGTGCTGCTGGTGGCGGCGGAGGTGGGGGCAGCAGCGCCAACGTTACGGGCGCCAACAGTGAGGTAAGTGAACATGATTTACTATACACCAGGGAGTGCTTACGATTTGGCCAGAGCACGTGCAGACCCACAGGCCACACAAGAGCTGCCAACGGCAACAACAACGGGCCAAGCGCAGATATTTATATACGGATAAAAAGAGTCACCGAAAATCGCTTAACTTGGCCACAACTATTGAAGCTTGACCCTGCTAAAAGACCTTATAAAAGTCCTAGTCACACTTTATGATACTCATTGTCAGCCACTTTAGCAAAATAGGGTATATAAAGCTAATAGCTTAATTACCTGGGCATAGAAGGGCGTTGAGCAAACAGGTCGAGAGGCTTGCCCACGCATTGTCACGCTCACTCATTATGGCTTAATTGCTTAAGTGGAATCTCAGTAAGCCGGACGTCAGCTGGCTGACCCATTAGTTGTCATAGAGGCTTTCGGAAAAACATGTTGTCTACTTTACTTTAAGCTTTAAAAAAAAAAGTACAAAAACGCACAACACTATTTTTCAACGGAGCAAATACTAAAAACCAATAGAAATTCTTAGCGCAATGGCGGGGGAAGCGGGAGATGTGACATCGATGAATTTTCTGACCGGCAGCAGCTTTGAGGGATCGTGGAACTCCTCGGTGCGTATGATGGATGGCTTTGGCAGCTATCGTTATCCGGACGGCAGCGAGTATAGGGGCAGGTTTTCGAATGGCAAATTCCATGGCTTCGGCCACCTGAAGCTGGCCCCGCCCTATCGCCTCACAATCAAGGGCGAGTTCAAGAACGGCAAACTGGTGAACGTTGAGGATATGTGGTTCAGCGATGGCTTGCATGTGAAGGGCTCCTTCGAGAACGATCAGTTTGTGAGCGATGAATGGGACTATTTGACGCCGAGCGATCGTCGCTATCAGGCGGAGCGGCACTATGGCCAGCAGCCAGTGGGTCCCACGGCGTATCTGACCAAGAGTTTGCCGCCACGACAAGTGCCGGCAAAGTGCTTCGATGTAGAGGAGGGGCTCTACAATTCTGCCTCTGGCTGGCTGTTCGATAGGGAGCCGCCATTTACAAAGGCCCTTTACATTGGCTGCGCGCAGGAGAGGGATTGGATAATGCGGTACTGTCGTACCCAGCCGTTTGCGGACTTTATAGAGCCGCTGCCCAGTTTTTGCAGGGATATTGTCAAGAACAATCTGGAAACTGAGTTGGGCCAACTGAAGGACATCGCCATCTACGCACCCAACCAGGAGATCAATCGCAGTCGCTACTTCCCCAAAGTGTGCCACGAGAAGCTGCCGGTGGACACAGAGCAGCCGCGATATGAGCGCCCGTCATTCCAAATGCTAAACGCCACCGAGCTCTGCCTGGACGATCACATCGCCAAGGAGCAGGTCAAAGCGGAGGAGCACAAAACAGCGTGGATAAACAGTCGTGAGACCGGCACAATGCCACCAATGCCAAGGGATCGCGTGTGGACGAGCAGCTCAGATCCGCGAGGCGGCGACTCTGGCGTCTCCTGCACCATCTCCAAGAGCATGTCGGAGAAGAACCTCAAAACGAACGTGAGAACCTACTACGAAGCGGCGATGGAACTGGCGGGCAAGAAGCATGCCGAAAGCTTGTACGTGGTCCAATCGAACATGAAGCGTCCGGCTAGCTTTGCGGACATACGTCAATCAGTGTTTGAATTTTAATATCAAGTATGATTCAATTAAGTTTCCAAAGTAAATTCAAGTAGAAATAAAAACAATCGGGAATTATAATATAAAATATTTTGATATACAAAATAAATGTTCGTCGTGAAGGAATAAGTGAAGATTGGTTTCAATATAGTATTGCAATTTTTTGTATAAAAAGGAAGAAAGGTTAGGGCTGTCATTCTTATATAAAGAAATATGTATGTGCTGTAAGGTATACCATATTTGGTATCTAAAATATGATAAGTTTTCTTATGCATGACAGTTTTAGAAACGTAATGTCCACCCGAATAATACTTTTTCAACATTGGATGAAAATCTGTCAATCAAATTGAAAACTCACCCTGATAACAAGTTAAATGTAAAATAGAAATACAAAAAAATTGGCTTTCTGGTTTGAACATTTTGACACTTCAAGTTGTGAAAATAATAATTAATATTAACACGAATATAAGCAAATATAAATATACTATATTGCACAAATGGATAGACTAGCAGCTAGATCATCGAAAACGTCGGGCGTGCTGACCGGCTCCAAGTTCTATGGCAACTGCGACGAGCTCGGCATGCAGAACTATGGCCTTTACGTCTACCCGGATGGCACCAAGTACTTGGGACAGTTCCACAACAATCGGTTTCATGGCAACGGAACTATCCAGCTGCCGCATCCCTACTGTCTGTACTTCTCAGTGCTGCATCAGCATGGCAAGCTGTTGCACATATTCCGGATTAGCTTCAGCGATATGCTGCAGGTGCAGTTCAAGATAACGGATCACGGCCTCAGCTTCAAGGACTGGAACTATTGCACGGCGGAGGATCGTCGCTTCAATGAGGAGCGTTTGGAGGATGCGATGGGTCCGACGACTGACTCAGAGCCGCCGAAACGGCTGCATCGCAACATATTCGATCTGGGCTTTGGCGAGCTGAGCGACAAAGGCATGCTGAAGAATATACCGCCACACATATCCGAATCGCACAGCGTCTACTTGGGCTGTCGCAAGGTGCGCCGCTGGATTCGCGAAAACTGTCGCCATGGACCGCTCAAGGGCAAGCATCTCAAGCAGGAGGTGCTGGCCAAGTTTGCACGCCAAATTATGCGTAACAATTTAGAGAGCGCCCAGGAGCTAAGCTCCCATCCGGTCCCATCGATGGTGAAGAAGACAGCGCACAAGTACAGAATATGTCGACGCTCGAGGAGTGCGGATAGCTCTAACTCGGCCAAGGAGGTGCGCTTGCATCTGGCCAACACCAGCATGAGCTGCAGCTCCCTCATGGATCATACGGTGAAGCATGGGCCCCAATACAAGCGGGTGTCCACAAGAAACTATCCCATTCGGCGCTCGAAAACGGAGGAGGACGTTTGCCGCTTGAACTAATCACCAACCACTAATCTTTGTTGGAACTTGTATGTTGATATTTATTCATATGCTGTACACGGCTAACCCAAATTTCATAGTGCCCAAGCTGAACATCTTTTCAGGTCAAAGCCATACGCCAAATATATTGCATTGCCTCGGGCGTAAACCATGTTTGGGCGTTTGATTTATGGCGGGCACCTCAAAACTGCAATCGAACATGGGAAACCACTTAAAACACACACACACACACACACACAACTATAACTATAACTTGTGGGTGTGGCATTTGGGTCAACGGGTCTCACTCTCGCTCTCTCTATCTCTCTCTGTGTCTGTCTGTCTCACTCTCACTCTTAATCTCTGGCCAAAGACATTTGCAAATGCCGTTGCACCTGTCACAGAGGCTAATGAACCCATAAAACCCACCAAATTATGCTACACGTGCGACATGATTTCCAGTTACAGCGGGACGAAGCATAAAGGGATTGGCTGTCAGCCAGCGGAGGAGGGGGAAGGGGGCAGCCATGTCTGTTCTGGCACGCACAGATAAATTTGGACGTTAATTAAAAAGCCATGGCAGGCGGAACTTCATTTAATTAAAAGGACAGTCGAAAAAGTCTAAGGATAGTAAAATCTGGTAAAAAGCGCTTTCGCTTTCGCTTACGGTAAAAAACATGAAAGCGAGAGCGAAACACGGCAAACGACTAAAAGTTATATGAAAACATATTTCAATAGTGGGCGCGTCCTATGCTCGTCTCTTTGTATGAGTATTCATGTATGTGTGTGTGTGTGTGTGTGCGTGTGTTTGTTGCTATTGTAATTGGCGATTTTCTTTATCAACCCTTGCATGTTTGATTTTCATTTACATGCCAGGCCAGTCGGCTAGCCTGGCCAAGAATACAACGTGACTCAATCCGAGCACAGACACACACACACATGCAGACACACACGCATACACAGACAGTGCTTTGTCGACCATCTAAATGAACATTCAATGTCCTGGCTGGTCGCCTGACTCCTTGGTTTGGCCAACTGGTTACGCCTGGCGTTGTTATCACATGCCGCTGGCGATTTTAGCGCTCATTCGTCTTCGTTCCAACTGGGCGAGGAAGTCAACGAGTGGTCAGCCCGAGCGTCCTGCGTGCCCCGACCCTTTTCCTACCTCAATACCGATGCGCGTGTCTATGTAAATTCCATGCCATGTATGTGTGTGCGTTTTGGGCACGTTTTGGCTTTGATAAGTCCGGCGTACATGGGTAGGGTTCGGTTTGGTTCTTTGCGCTTCATTCATATTCATTCATTATTAGAAAAAAATTCGCTTGGCGCTTAGCGTTCGCTGGCTCGCTCGCTCTTCAACCTGTCTTGGCAGAATGTCTGAGCGTGTGTGTGTGTGTGTGTGTGTTACGGTGTCGCGTTGTCCTTTTGATGTCCTGTTTGTGCGGCTTTGCTGGTTCGACCAGTTCGCTAAGCCGTTCAGTCTGCGCTTAAGGCTGCTCCAAAGCGTTACGACAGCACAACTAGCAAATATACAAAAAAAAATAAAAATTCATTTCTCGGCACGAAATTGAAAAGAGCAAAATCTTAAAGATTAAAGACTTATACATTTAGTTATAGTAAGAAGCAAAGTGAAGACCCGAAAGTATTTGCAATGTGCCTTAGATAAATAATAAGAATATTCAATATATACACCATATTTAATTGTGAACGTTTTCGATAAGCGAAGAGTGGGAGCTTAATTAAAATTCAACAATTCGTAGAACAACTCGGGCGTTACTTCTCCACATCAATTATCCGTGACGTGGGCGCCGCCATGCGATTGGGATAAGGGCGGCTGGCAAATGCAGAGCAGCGCCGACGAGCGTCGAGAATATTATAAAGGACAGAGGGGCAGACGGTGAGTTCAAATGAAAGTCAATTCCGAGAAACGGTTTAAGGTTCGAGCTCTTCATCCCCCTAGAACTGCATCGCAGGACGATAACAGATCCTATGAACTGAACGGTAGGCGAGACGAGGCAGCTCACCACTAATAGCTCCCACTTAATTGTAATTACTTCCCACAATTTTCGCCTGTTTTCGGTGTGCACAGATTTGCACGCACAGAACCAAAGCAGCGACGTCGACAGCAACCATCAGCAGGACTCGCCGTACGACCAGCAGCGAAATGGCGCCGTCGATGCTGATGATGACGAGGAGGACTACTCGATTTCCGTATCGGCGATAATGCAGAGACGTGCCAGTGTGCGTGGCTACAGAGGCAAACGTGGCAGTCGCAATTCGCGCCGAGCATCGAGTCCCATGGATCACGTGCTGGACAGTGTGGAGCGGCGGCGCTCCAGTGTTTATACCACAAGCTCAGGCAAGGCTCAGACCAATAAATGCTTTCAAAGATTTGCCTTAACTTGCTGCTCTCCAGTGGCTAATCAGAGTATGTGTGTGTGTGTGTGCGTGTGTGATTAGCTGACGGGAGAGAGGCAGTTGTAGTTATTGCAGCAGCTACGTGCGCCCATTTAGCGGCACGTGGCTAACGTGGCGTATGTGTAATGTTTACATTGCTTTTGCTTTTGCTTTTGCAGAGGAGGGCACCAATCAGGAGTCCACGCAGGAGCAAATCTTTGAGAATATACGCCTACACAAGGAGGTCATACAGTCGGTCAAGCTACAGCCATGGCCCATACGCAAGAAGCTCAAGCTGGTGCGCCAGGTAGGCAGCCCTCGCCCTGGCCAAACTAGGCCAAAAGCTGGGCGCGTCGCATTTCACGCCTTAGCCTCAGCCTGCCTTAGTGGCCCATTAAATTCACAGCAAATATTTCGATTTCATGTGTCAATCTTTTCTCGCCCTCTTGTCCATGTTTTCCATGTATTTTTTATTTCTTTCCCTTCGACTCTTTTCCTTTTTTGCTTTTCTATTCTATTTCACCTGGCATTTTTAATGATGTTGACAGGCAAAAACGTATGTGGCACGCCACGAGGGCGCGCTGCAGGAGCGCTTTGCCATGTCACGCAGCACGAGAGATTTGTGGGCGAGGTTTAAAATTTTAATGGCAGCGGTAAGTAAAATCTTTCAGCACTCCAGACCACACACACACACACACACATAGTTGCATATGTTGGCCTGCAATTATGGCTTGGCTTGGCAAACACTTTGCTCGGATGGAAATGCTTGCCCCGATCCCATTACCCGACTGTCCAAACAAGTGTCCTGCATATATTTATGCTTTGCACACAATTTATGGAGCGCAGATAAATCAAGAGCTCCATAATTCACAAAAACTTGTCGACACATCCAGCAAACGCATATTCTGTGTACACATGGAAACCAATTAAAATACCAAATCGACAAGACTGGAGTCGAGCTCAAGGCAGTCACAGTTCTCTCTCTCTCGCTCTCTCTCTCTCTCTCTCTCTCGCTCTCGCTCTAACTACATATCCATTTGCAGCGCTGGCGGCACTGGAAAAGGGAGACCGCCAGCTTTCTCACAGTGCTCATACCCTGGGAGCTGCGCATCAAGGAAATCGAATCGCATTTCGGCTCCGGCGTCGCATCCTACTTTACATTCCTGCGCTGGCTCATGTGGGTCAACATTATGATAGCCATACCGCTGGTGGCCTTTGTCATTGGACCGGAGGTGAGTCCACGCTCCCAACTGAATATTCTCATGGGATATTTATATATTCCCCCTCTCTTTCTCTCACACTCTCTATATGTATGTATGTTTTCAGTACTTTGCCACCAAACACGATGAAGCGGATCCGCGCAAACGCATGTCCGAGCCCGAATACAAAGTGGCTGGGAATCTGTTTACATTCTGGGAATTCGAGGGCTATCTGAAGTATTCGCCCATGTTTTATGGGTAAGCAGAGAGTGTAGGATTTTAAATAAAACACGAGTATTGCGAAGCTCTGTCCTTATCCTGACATCTTACTTCCGGTTTCTAGTTATTACTCGAGCACTTCCGGCATCAGCGCATCCGGCTACAAGTTACCTTTGGCTTACTTCCTAACTGCCGTCCTGGTCTACATCTACAGCTTTGTGGCCACGTTGCGCAAGTGAGTACTGGGAGCGGGCCGGGACACTTCATTAAATCTTTGGCCATCGAAGCCACAAAAGCAAACCGAATGCCAAAAGTGGTCGTTAATTAATTAAACCGAACATCGCGCTGATTAAATAATACAAATCTTGTCTCTAGGCGTGTCCAGCACAAGAAACAGCCAAAACTTTTTCCGTTTCGCCCATCGGCCGAAACTTGGCCATTATGAGTTACGCACGCACGCAGTCGGACACGAGACACGAGCCACAAGACGGTGGGGCAGTGCGGCTGATGGGGCACAGTTGAGCTGGGGAGCGTCTGTGCTTGTTTCGTTTAATGGCTTTGTCGGCATTATGTTGATTTCGTAATTGAACAAAGTAGCAATGTCAACAGCGTGGATGCCGGCACTGACCTTGCCACTTGCCACATTCCACTTGCCACTTACCACTTACCGCTTGCCAGTGGCGCAGCCAGCCACATGTTGGTGGCACGTGCGCGGCATGCGTGAATCGTACTCATATTTATGTGGCATTAGTCTCTGTCTGGGATTTGTGCGCCAATTATGTTTCGCAGGCAGCTAACACAAAAACTTTTCGCTCTTTTATCTTTTATCTGCATTGACAGGATGGCTGAGAACTCGCGCAATTCGAAACTTTCCTCGAAGGATGATGAGTGTGTGTTCTCCTGGAAGCTGTTCACCGGCTGGGACTTTATGATTGGTAAGTAGCATGCCCCTCGAGTGCCGTTATTACAGCAGCTTAACGCACCAACACATCGACACACACTCACACACCAACACACACACCAACACAGGGCACGCAGAGACGGCGCATAATCGCATCGCATCCGTTGTGGTTGGCTTCAAGGAGGCGCTGCTCGAGGAAGCTGAAAAGAAAAAGGATAATCGCAAGTAAGTCGAAAGGAAATCAGCGTCAATCGCAGTTTATAATTGGAGTCTTACGCTCGCAGCTGGCGCGTTATCCTGCAAAGGATACTGGTGAACATTTTGGTCATGGGCTTGCTGGGATTATCAGGTGCCACAGTCGTATTGCTGGTGAATCAGTGAGTCTCTTCGCCTTTTCGCCAGCCAATGCACTTAATTATAACTGACTATTTCATTCGGCAGTTCCGAGGACCTGGCCAAGCATGACAATTGGCTTAGCCGCAACGCGGTGAACGTGACGATGACGCTGCTCTCGTTCTTCCTGCCAATGATTTTCGAGGCACTGGGCTTGTTCGAGAACTGGCATCCCAGGCAACAGTTGCGTCTGCAGCTGGCCCGGTAAGCCACCAGGAAATCTCTTTAATACCATGCCATTCACTAATCCATTTACGTCTCTCCTGCTGCACCACCACCATCCAAGCATCATGATACTGAACATGCTGAATCTGTACTCGCTCATGTTCTCGTTCATCTACAAGATTACCAGCAAGGAGAAGCCGCTGCAGCTGCTGAAGCAGGAGAACGATACCAACACCCAGGAGCTGCACAGCCTGATGAGCTCCATTGCGGCGCTCCGTGCGATGACAACGACCACGCCCATCTACAGCGACAGCACCTCGGATGGATCTCTCGACGACCTGACGACGACTGGGCTGCCCTGGGGCGCCGACGGTGCGGGCACCACTGACTCACTCTACTCGAGCACAGCTCTGGGTGCTGCGTTGGTATCCGCTGTGCAGAGGCTCAAGTGCTATAACATAACTATAAAATGCTCAAAACCCAGACATCTGTGGATAACCTCGAAAAACATAACAACCACATTGATGTTACTCAATATGTCAACCACAGCGATATTGCCAACAACCACACCCAGCACCACGGAAGCAACGACAACCACTTGGTCAACTCTGCCACCAACAACTACAACAGAAGCGACTACAATACCAACTACACTTCCCTGGACTACTTTGCCAACAACGACCACAGAGGCGACAACACCAACCACACCAACAACAACAACAACAACACCCACATCAACAACGACAACGACAACAACTACAGCAATGCCATCAACAACAACAAGCACTACTCAAACTATGACAACAACAACAACAACAACGACCACCGAATCGCCATTCACCACGGATGAGGACTCAGCCTATGATTATGGCAGTGATGAGCCAGAGCTGGACTCCTCAACCACAACGACAACACCGGCCCCAGGCAACGACAGCTACTTCAACTACGTCGATTACTTCGAGGGCGCCGAGCTGGCCGATCCAGACGAAGACTATCAGTCAACCACCGAGGAATCTGATGATCCACTGGCTCAGGTGCTGGAGCAAGTGAATGAGCCGTCAGCGAATACACGGAAAAGAAGAGCTGTGCCCGAGCCACCCGTTTGGCATGCGAGCAAATACAGTCGACGATATCGCAATGATACGAGACCTAATTCGGCCACAGCCACAGAGCCGTCAACAGCCGCCAGCACGCCAAGCAGCAGACCCACATACGTTCCTCCGTATAGGCCGCCGAAGAGAGTTCTCAGCGAAGAAGAGTGGAATCGCCTGTTGAGTCAGGTGCGTGGAGGACGCAGCCGAACAACGACAACCACAGAACGGCCCACCACAACCACAACGACGTCTACAACCACAACAAAAAGGACAACGACCACCAGAAGGCCCACAACCACCACAGAGGAGCCCACAACCACAGCTACGGACAGCTTCAGCACGGAAGCGAGCAGCACCGAATACAGCACCATCTACAGCCCCACCAGCACCACCGAGGAATTTGAGTACACTGATCGAAATGGGGCCACCATCACGCCCTTTTTTATAGGCGCCAATGATATAGCAGACGTGGGCAGCACCGTCTACTACGATGACGACGAGGATCTGGAATATTGTGTGATAACCGTGTGTCCGAAGCCTGGCGAAGACATCTTTGCGGGCAGCACCACACCCGATGGGTTGGACACCACGCTGAGCGGCGAAGTCAATCATCCGACGACGGTAAAAAAGACCCCGCTGGAACTAAAGATGATGCGGTTGAAGGAAGTTGAGATGAAACTCAAACAAATCCAAATGAACCTGACGACCATGTGCTGGGAGACCTCCCTCGGTCAGGAGCTGTCAAAGGTCATCGTCTTCGATGGGGTAAGTGCTGGGAGGGATGAGGTGGAGCGTAGAGGTTACTTAGCAACAGCCCCGAGCCGACCACAGTTTAAACACGAATTTATCATCATCAGTAGGAGCTATCAATTTCCTTTGCGGCAGTCAAATGCTTCATTTCCGGCACCGGACTCTGCCAGATAAACAGCTGCCACTTGGCACATATCAAAGAGCTATTTAAAGCTAAAATATGATCGAAGTTTATGATAACAACTACAGATACGCAACGCCCAAGCGTGAAATCCCGTTTAGCCAAATTGTGCGGAAAATGCTTTAAAAAAATGTTGTTTTCCGCTTTTCATGTACAAAAATCAAATTTTGGCTGTGCGTGGAGCCACGGCGAAAAGCTACAAAGGGAGAGAGTAGAATAGCGGCAGAGAGAAGAGGGAGAGTGGGAGATAAAAATAAAAATACGTAAGAAGGTTGACGCTGTTAATACAGCTCGACTACGAGATACTCTGTTGAGTGCATAAGAAAATACTCATATAGCTAAGATATTTTTAATAGTTTCATAAAAGTAAAATATTGACTTGGGCTTTAAGATTTTAGCAGCTAACTAAAGTTTGACAGCCGGGTCGTATGTTAACATATTCCACATACCCAGTGGATATGAAAACACGACAAGCAAAGTATTTTATCATACTAATCGCTCTCTGGAGTCTTTTAGCCACCAGACACAGCTGGCAGCCGGCGTCTGGCCAAAAATTTATATCCAATACCCATTTGCATAAGAAACATTTTTGAACTTTTGGCATCGATTTCTCAAGTTTTTCCTTTGTTGAACGAGTGTCGATTGGCCAAGGATTTGATTTTGAACTTCAAGGCTAATCGCCAGCAAATTCATGGGGATCTACAGCCAACTTTTCAGGGTCAATCGGTCTTCACTTTGGGCCTACTTTTTGGCCGTTGCTGTAAACATCTTTGGACGCAGCAGCCAACAATCAACAAAGGAAACAAAAAAAAAAAAAAGGACACACGATGCTGATTATGAACAGATTATTGTTGTTGTTGCTGTTGTTGTCAACTCGACATGGCGGACGTAATCTCTATTAAACGATTTGGGCATATAAATTAAACAATTTACGAGGCTTCAGTTAAGCGCATTTATGCCTTATGCATAACAAAATTTTCAGCTCTGCCCTCGTTAGGGACAAATTGGGTTTAGGGCTTTGCGATTGAGGGCGTTGGGGGTTTGTGGGGATTGTGAGGCTGTGCGGCTTTACGGCTGGGAGCCGAGCACGTGTTCGTGCATGAATTTCGGCTGGGAAATGAATGGGTTTTTCGGTCAGATAGTTTGGGGCAAGCAAATCGGCTATAATCATGGCCTTAGCTGCAGCCAGGCCGGACACGGCAAGACAATGCACAGCGTGCGGTACGTGTGGCGAGCTTTAAGCAGAGGTCAGCCAGTACTTCATTGCAACATGCCCCTAACACACTAATCCTCTTCACCAGCTGATGTCCATCGTGGCGCCATTGTGCATCGACTTCCTGCGTGCGCTCTTTGTGCGATATGTCAATCAAAACTGGTGCTGGGACATGGAGAAAACGTTTCCACAGGTAAGAGATAGCACAGCACAGTCCGACGCCCGCAGTGCAACTCTCAACTCTCGACCTGCTGACTAATGGGTGCGCTTTGTTTTTGTGGCGTCTGACATGCAGTATGGCGACTTTAAGATAGCCGAGAACATCCTGACGTTGATTAATAACCAGGGCCAGGTGTGGATGGGCATATTCTTCTCGCCGGGGCTGGTGCTCATCAACCTTGTCAAGCTGATGATTATGATGTACTTCAGGTCATGGATAGTGCTCACCTGCAACGTGCCCCACGAGGTGGTCTTCAAGTGAGTGCTCCAAGCACCAGGGCTTAGCCTTCATCGGTGGCTTCACTTAATCAATTGCTACTTGCAGAGCGTCCAAGTCCAACAATTTCTATTTATCGCTGCTGCTGACCATGCTGTTCCTCTGCGTGCTGCCCGTGGGCTATGCAATTGTCTGGCTGCGCCCCTCCTGGCACTGTGGCCCGTTCTCGGAATACAATCGCATTGCCGAGTTCATTACGAATACCACTCGAAACGCGCTGCCCAAGTGAGTAGCAATGCAATCAGACAGCCAACCAATCTGGGCTTTACTGGATTTGACTTTCACTCAATCTCTCTCTCTCTCTTTCTGTCTCTTTCTCTCATCAACAGACAACTCCATGAGCCTCTGGACTACCTGACGTCCTCCAGTACCGTCATACCTTTGCTGCTTCTGCTCATTCTCATCATTTACTATCTCATCTCGCTGACGGGCGCACTCCGCGAGGCTAATCAAGATCTGCGCACTCAGCTGCAGAAGGAGCGAGAGGAGGAGCGCAAGAAGATTTTTAAAGTACCCGAGGTTAAGCAGGCGGAACCAACGGCCACCACGCTGACAAATCGCTGGCGCAAGGTGCTCGAAGCCTCCTCGCCAGTGACGCCCACTCAGCCGCCAGATTTCGACACTGAGGAGTACAAGAATCAGGCCAGAAAAGGTGAGCCAAATATTAAGAATTTCACTAAACCGTATATAAGCCTCCCTTGCACCTCTACAGAGCTCATCTCACGCATCATGAAGAAGGCGCTGCGCAAGGGCTCGGCCACCTCGGACGAGGACTCCTTTGTGCGACGCGATGATGATGACACGGACACTGAACACCAAGACTCGCTGCCACACGATGAGGAGCCCAAGGAGAAGCGCTTTGGCATGTCACGCCTGCAACAAATACGGCGCACTCGGAAGCCATCGCTTGTGGACATCGTGCAGATTGCCAAGCAGGAGCGGGCACGTTCCGGTTCCATTGCGGCAGCCAATGCGGCACTGGATGGCGGGGGTGGTGGCGGAGGCAGCAGTCCGGGCACAGGCGTTGACGGCGGCGATGGGGGCGACCACTTTCCCGTGAAAGAGCCGCATCCCAAGAGCCGCTTTAAAGTCGACAAACACGAGAAGAAGGAAAGGGAGAGCTTCAGGGATAAAAGGGACAAGCACAAGCAGCCGCCACACAACGATTCGACGTCACCCAAGCCCAGTGAACATGATGCAGAGACGAATACTCGCGTTGTCAACGAGCGACGCATTAGTTTACTGCGTCGCAAACGAGACAAGGAGGAGCACCCGAAGCCAGCGACGCCGGAACCGGAATCACAGCCACCTCCAGTAATGGGTGCGGAACAGGCCCCACCCGAAAGCCAGTTTCACATTGTTGACGAGAAGAAGCCGGTGGAGCTAGAGGATGAGGAGCAGGAAAAGCCTTACAAGGAATTGCCGACGCCTCCAAAAGAAGGTGGTCACCTGGAAGGCCTGGGCCTGGGCAAGTTTAAGTTCCGCAAACACAGATCGAAGGCAAACAGCGTGGCTGCCAAGCCCGAGCCCGAGGTCTTCAAGTTTGATGAGCAGAGTCTGGAGAAGAGTAAGTCAGGTGAAATACCACAAGTGCCCAGCTCGGAGCACCTGAACAGCGAGCAGGCCAGTGGCAGTGAGTCGCATGCCCTGCCCTCGCCCACGCCCAGCCTGATGCACACTCAGCGCCAGATGAACTCCGAGAAGCTGGCGTCTCTATCACGCCAGGGCCGCAAGAAAATTGGTTCCTTGTTGGCGTTGGTGCGCGAGGCAGTCAACATCAAGAAGGACGACGTGGAGCAGGGCTCCGATGACTCACCAGGACCAACCACGCCCACATACTTGGCATATACACCGCCGCCACCGCCTTCGCTCTTGTCGAGCAATTCGAGCGCCACGGCATTGGAAATGCCACCCACACCGGAGCCAGACTCACCGACACCCAGCGCTCCGCTGCACTTTGGCAGCAGCACATCCTCGGCAGCAAGTCGTCCAACTGTCAAAATAGCCACAGGAGCCGCTGCCTCATGCTCGACGCCTACCTTGGCCACCATGGACGACCTTGAGGAGCTGGATATGCCCGGTCCCATAACGTTTCCCAAACGCAGTGCTTCCCAGCGGCGACGTGCCATGAGAGAAGACTCCCAAAGCTCCATCTGGTCTGATAATATACCAACCATTACCATCAGCACCACCGGCAGCGATGAGTGCATCGTGGACCAGCAGGATCCAGCAACAGCAGCTGCAGCAACCACACCGGCAGCCGCTGTAAATGGACTACCGGAACACAGCGATTCACCTGGACCCACGGTCAACATCATAAAGATCAACATAGAGGACAGCGATGAGCATTAAATCTATTTCCAGAACTCTTTCGCTTAGAAACCAAAAGCCACATAGTCTTCTTCACTAATGAAATTGATTTAGCCTATTTGCAATTTAGCTTAAACTTGTTATAAACAACTTGTTAGCAAAACTCTAATTGTCTATCCAAAACCTATATATATTGAATAAAATAGTTTGCTTTCCTTGAAATCAGATGACATCTCTATTTGCAAAATAAAATGTAGAAGTTAAAGAAATTGATAATTTAATGCATGCCCCATATGTTTCATAGCAGTCAGCTTTTGAGTATGGCTGACAATAGCAGAGACACCAACCGTTTATGGCAGTGGGTCGAAATGTTCGTAAATTGAGAAAGCCAAATATAATATATGAATATATTAATATGAATATATGAAATTTAATTACAAATAAAAATTTAATAATAATTATAATACCCAAAATTGTTCTTTTATAATTTTAACTCATTAAGTTGAGTAAATTCTAAAAGAAATGAAAGGTGATATAAAAGAAATATAAATGAACATTTTCGTTATAAAATTTATTAAGCACCTATATTTTTTAATATTTTTTTGCATTATAGTATACCATATATTTTTACAAATTTAAAGTTCAGAGTTCATTTTTTTCTAATTTTGTTTCTAATCTTATATAAATACACAAATTTTTATTATAAATAGACTTTCAAGAACTCTTGACAATAATTTTCCTTCAAGCTTTGCAATCATTTTTTTTCATGCATTAAATTAGTCAATGAAACTGAAAGTGGTTTTGCTTTCCTTCTTTCTCTTATTGTACAACGAACTCTTATCAGTTGGGCAGCGATAACCTGTTAGCTCTGTAAGCAACTACTTAGGTCCAAAAGTAGAACGGAGAGCACAGCCGCCGATAGTCGTGGGCAATAAACGCACGAGCATCTCAATTAGTCTGCAAGATATACATATGTATATGCTTCACAACTGGATAGCAAATATTTGCGAAGATTAACAAAATTCTCTAAATGTGCTGGTAATTGAAAACCCAACCAGAGAGAAGAAGAAGCGCTTTACAATTAAACATCAATTCATAAATCTGCTAAGCACTCCGCTCGCTCTCCAATTTCAACTACAATACATAGTTGCCCGGCTAAGCTAAGCCCAGCCAGCAAAGCGAAGCTCGTCGAGTGCCCATGCGCCAGAGCAACAACAACGATCGTGCAGCTACTCACAAATACAGACACAGACACAGGCACTGGCACTGGCACAGAGACAAGTACGAGCAGAGCAGAGCAGAGCAGAGCATAGAGTTTCACTCAACGAGAGCCGCTGAGCGGTTGTGCCGCATTCCTCAAGAGTCAGTTGAGCATTGGACGTCCTCGTTAGCGGTTGCCTGTGGTGTTCTGTGCGGAGTAAGTGCTGCGGCTGAAGTGGAATTGGTGATCGGTGGTGCTTAATGGTGCTCTGTGTGCGGAGGAGTCTTTGCTTTTCTTCTGGAGCTCTTCTGATTTTTATACGAACGGCTTTTTCGGCTGCCTTCGCGCTGTGTGTGTCTTTTTTTTCGTTGTTTGCTTGGGCTGTCGCAGACAGCGACAAAAAAGAAAACCTCGAGATAAAAAAGTATCTTGTCGTGCATAGATGCATGTATTCGTGTATATGTGTGCGTGTGTGTGTGTGTGCGAGTGTGGCAGACGGTGTATGACGAACTGTTTACTCAAAAGGTTCTTGCCTTCGGTATAGTGATACAATTACAACAACTGAATAAGACAAGAGGAAAAAAAATGAAAGAAACCTCGATAAATTGTACTTAATAATGAAACAAAGCAACTACGAAAATTGTACAATTTCCGAGTCAGCGGAAAAGTGAGAAGTCGTGTGCAAAGTACACAAAAGCCAAAATGAAAAACTCGAAATGAAAGCAAATGCGATGACAAATGCAACTAAACACATGTGAATGCAACTGCATAAGATTTTCCATGCGAGAAACCAAGAAACTATTTTTGTAAATCAAACACAGCAAATGCTTTGGAAAACCCTCAAAAATATCAACCAAATGCAGCATGTGCTAGAAGCAAACCAACAGCAACAACAACAACAACAACAGCAAAAGTATCTACAACAAAAAAAAGCCATAAATAAACGCAGTGTTTAATGTTGTGCTGCTGCCCTGTGCATCGCCAAGATACAAACAACAACAACAACGAAATAAGTAAACCAAAAAAATAAGAAAAAACCAAGTTTCGTAAAAGTATCTGACTCAAGTGTGTGTGCAGTTTCTTTTGAGTGAATTCGTGTTGCTTTTCCTCTACCTGAGCGGCTGTGCATGTGTGCGTGAGCGTATGTGTTGAAGCAGTTGATAAAAACAAACGCTTCAATAAAGATAAATACCAAAAGGTGCAAACAAAAACGACAAACTCACAACAACCACAAAGTGTAGTGCGCCATAGTGTGCTGTGTAGTGCAGTGTTTCCACGATGTAGTGTGTGCTCTCTCTTCCTCTTCATCTACGTCTTCGTCTTCGTCTTAGTCTCAGTCTCAATCAGAATCAGAATTCAGTTCATGCCAGCAGCACATATCGCACTAGTTCGTAGCCCCAAATTCTTATCTCTAAAGGAACTCGTGCTCATAGGCGCGTATCGCAACAGGCGCGCAACAGCGCTCAACAATTGAAATCTGAATGGAGCGGATGTTCGTTCGGTTCAGTATTAATAATATCTCTATATGGGAACGACAACAGCAGCAACAACATTATATAGAAATGCTTTGAGTCTTGGCCTCAGCTGAACTCATTCCCAAAGGGTTTCACACTCACACACACACACACACACACTTCGCTTGACATCGGAGAAGAGTGTATCAACTGTTGCCCCGGCGACAGTCTCCAAGATCTTCTAGTGCCTTGATTCAGTTTCGTAATGAAACAATTTTTTGTGCTTCAAATATAAAAGCAAATGTGAAACTAAACTGATAAGCCCGCAACATAAGTCTACAGAGTTCAACATTGGCTTCAACCACACTCTCTGAGCTATAAATATATATAGAATGAAATATTTTGTGCAAACAAACATTTGCTCTCACGTCTCATACGGAGAGTATTACGAAAGTGTGTTTAGCCTGCAAGGGAAATAGAGTGTCTATATTTGTATGTATGGATAAGAGAACGAATAAAAAAGAGCGAATATAATTCCTGGAATATTTTGGTATTCATACAACTTCAAATTTACATATACATACATATGTATATACATATGTATACATACAATCGTCTACATTTTATTCAGTCAGTTTCATTATCTTACTCAGGTTCCGCTTTGGACCCACTATAACTGGAAATTTCTTGTAAATCCCCTTTTCATATGCCATATATGCAATTTTCCACAATATTCTGCAGTCTTCAGCAAATTCTCATAGATTTACCTATTCGTTTCCAAAACGATGTCTTGCCATAAGAATCTAATGATATCATCTCCAATCTTTACTTAGTAAATAGACTCAATTTACTGTGCATATTTGCTAATTAGCGGCAAACACAAAAAGCTACTTAGGCGTCTGAGAGATGATCGCTCTCTCAATGAATCTAACCTTGGCTAAGCATAAGATGAATGCAACCCAAGATTCCTTTAACAAGTTCTTAAATAGCCTGCACATTTTCCCAAGTAATTGCAAAGTATTTTTATATTCTTTTTTCTGCTTATCCAGATATGTATCTAGATACATGTGTATATGTATGTATGTGTTTGGTGTGCATGGGCGGAGTAAGCGTAGATGAAATCATCGTCTGGAATAATTTCAAGTTTCATTTAGAGGCTAGAGCAACTACAAAATTGCGGTGGGGTGGTGCTGCTGTGGAGTGGGGTTGCTGGTGTGGGGTGAGCACTGAATATATGTATGTACGTACATAGATATAGTCGGAAGCACAAATTTTGTTGTGTTCAATGCTTGAGTTCATTTTCAAAAGTGTATCTGTGGGTGTGTGTGTGTGTGTTTATTTATGTATGTCTTTGCTGTTAAATTTGTTGTTATTTGAAATTTACATTTGCAGTTTTTTGGTTTTGTTTTGTTTTGTTTACACTGAGAGCACTGGGGGAATGGGAGCTCTGGTGCGGTTGCCCGAGGCGGACAGATCGTGCAACTTATTGACTGACTGGACAGCAAAGTTTGTTTTTATGAGGCAGCTTCGGGACCGGCGAACGAACTAATTAAAACCGCGTAACAACAAAGCAACTGAAACGTTTTGTTTTTTTCATTTAGTTCACACAATATGTGCAGCAGATGTGATTTCTCTTCTTTGCCCGAAAATTATAGATCAACGACACATACACATACAAAAAAATGGAATAGCATTAGCTAATCGACGTATTTATATATCTCTTGTGCATTTACAGCGAGTCAAGCCGCTCAAGAACCAGCCACCATCTCCTTGAGCCACGGACGCCTTTTAACTCAAGTCCAATTATGCTTTAAACTGTGACAGTGAACAACAACTAAAAAATTATAAAACCCATCCAGAATATTAGAACTACTCGAACAAGTGTATCCCGTTGCAAATTAGTGTTGCAATTAGTACGTAAAGCAAGCCCAACCCCAGTTCACCATCCCAGCGCTCACGATGAAGCGCAACAGGCGGAGTCACAGCGAAGGCTCCACCGCAGCGCGCCTCCTGCTCGCCGGAGCGCTGCTCTGCAGCTGCCTGGCGACCACGCTTGGCGCACAGCGCCAGCCCATTACCTCCGCCGGCGGACACGAGCTGCGCGGCACCACATTCATGCCGGCGCTGGAGTGCTACGATCCCTATGGCCGACCCCAGGTAAGAGCAATGCGCAAGTGAAGAGAATGGAGCTAGAGCTCTCTCTCTCTCTCTCTCTCTCTCTCTATATATATATATATATATATAAATCATAGTCAAATTGTTTACTGTCAGGCAATTAAATTAAGAGAGAATTGGCACGCGCCTCTGCGGCTGGGTCAATAGAGCTGATGGGCAGCAATTTGTATGCAGACATACAAACCAATTGAACAATGAAGACAATTTAGTTGAGCACAAATTGTCGCGTAGCTGTCCCACTCTCTCTTTCATTTATCATATAATAATGGGCTCAAAGACTGTATTTTCATGTACGCAACTTCTCTCTGAACCCTATTTAGAAATGCTTGCCCGAGTTTATCAATGCTGCCTACCAACTGCAAATTGAAGCGACAAATACCTGTGGTGAGCAG